GGGTGTAGAGTGGTGACACAGCTCCTCTCTTTTCACACAATGACCTGTCTCACTGCTCAGCTGGTGGCAGGGAGAAAGTGGCCGCAGGAGGTCAACACGTTGAGTGCCAGAACCCCTCAATGGGGCCAGGTGATAAGGCTGGACCCCCACTGCATCCCATCACCTCCACATCAGCACCCAGACGGACATGGTGCTCCCTGGGCACTGCCACGTCACACCACAGAGACCGTTCTGCCCTGGTGTGGGGACAAAGCCACATCGGGGGCTGCCCTGCTCCTTGCCCAGCCCTGTGCCCCAGATCATGCACAGCACCAGAGGCATCTCTGCCACAGGGCTGGTTTTCTGGGTGCCTGTTTGCTCAACAGTGGTGCATCCACAGCCAAGAGCCTGCTGTGAGGAGTGCCTATGGCAGGGTGACATTCACACTGCACGTTAGGCAATCCTGGCTGCTCGGTCCCTCCCTCAGCTGTCCCAGAAAGGCGGTGGTGAGGGCCAGCAGCTGGGAATTGGGAGCAGGGACGAGTGCGTCAGCACAATGGGAACGGGCACCTGGGGAAATCAGGCTGGGCCATGCTGCTGGGCAGAGGCAGTGAGGCCCAGGCTGGTGTGGCCATGGTGAGGTGCAGCTGCACATCAGAGTGTGAGAACAGGGTGATGCCCTGCTGCCCCACCCCTGGTACAGGGCCTGTCTCCCATTCTGCACACATCGCACCACACATCCGACTGCACAGTGACACGGTCCCCAAAGGTGTGATGTACAGTGACTCTCTGCAGACCCATTGCAGGGCAGGACCCCTCTTGCATGCTTCTCCAGTCCTCCTGTTATCCCACCAGGCTCGTGAGCAGCACATACATCTTCTTCCATCCTCCAAACACCACTTTTCCAGACTCCTGGCTCTCAGAGCACAATACCTCCTATTCCTCCAGTGCTCCTCTTCAGCACTGCCAACATTCCTTCTGACCTGCCACAGCCATCCAGTCCCCCCTCAAGGGGCAACATCTCTGGTGTGCCTCCTGTGCTGCAGCTCCTTCCCTGGAATCTCAGGGCTCAGCGTTGCTTTCCTCACTCCCTGCCCTCATTGTCCCCATGCAGGCAGCTCAGCTCACATCTCAGAGCAGTGCCACCAGCCTCCACATTTCCCAACACTTCAATGTCTCAAGCAGGTTGCATCCATCCTCCATGGGGAAATGGCCTCCATTTGTGCCAGGGAAGATTTAGTACTGGAACGGGATGGCCAGGGAAGTGGTGGAGTCACCATTCCCAGAGGCATTTAGAAGACATACAGTTGTGTCACTTGAGGACATGGTTTGATGATGGACTTGACAGTGATGGGTTAACAGTTGGACTCAATGATCTTAGAGGTCTTTTCTGACACAAGTGATTCTATGACATGATTCCATGATGATGGGGCAGAGTGAGCTGAGCCGCAAACCTGCCTGGCCCCTGTACAGGACGAGGCCCACTCCCTGTCTGGCTGCTGCACTCAGGGGTCATGATAATGAGCAGAGGGGCTGCCACAGGGACCGGCAAATGCTGTTTAATTTTCCTTGGCTAATTAACCACTAGGTCCCGCCCACTGCAGGGTACAGGCTCCACCTACTTGTCAGCCCTGCCTCTTACCATGTTGTGTTCCTCCACCCAGCCCCACCGGGGTCCCTGTTTTCCCAGTACAGCTCCAGTGCCTGGTAAAGCTGTGATGGTGATACCACAGAAGTTCTGCCCATGGACAGCTGGTGCTCAGGGTGTATTGGGGACCGTGTTGGTAGCTGTGGTGGGTGGTACCACCAGTGCCATGCGCCCGACCCCCATACCTGTCTCTCTCTCTATATATCTCTCTCTCTCCTCCTGCCCTGAGCAGGCTTGGCATCACATGCTCCCAACACCTCTGTGCCCAGCCCTGGCACCCAGCCTTGCCTGGCAGCCTTGCCTGCAGCCACATGCTCGCTCCAGGCTGGAGAGCCACCCCGGTGCTGCCGGCACTGGGCACCCCAGCCTGCAGGAGGGTGAAAACAGCAAAGCTCAGCAGCCCTGTCTGGCCCCAGGGCACACACTGAACCAAGAGCCCGCAAAGCACCTCTGCCACCCTCAGCAAACCTGTGCCCCCATCTGTGCCAGCACACCCATGCTGGCAGCCACGCCACCCTTACCTTCCATGTCAATGATGGCCAGCACAGCACTGGTCATGGCTTCTCCCCGCTCATTTTCAGCAACGCATGTGTACACGCCGGCATCCTCCTTCTTGCTGTCTCGGATCCAGAGGGTGCCATACTCCTCCCCACCCTGAGGCAGCTGCTCCTGGTTTCGGTACCAGCGGAGGCTGGGCTGGGGGTTGCCCACCACCACCACCCGCAGCCGGATGTCACAGCCAGTGCCGATTGCAGCGTTCTTCAGTTTCCGCACAAAACATGGTGCCGCCAGGCGAACCGGGCCCTCCTCGGGCACCCCCGGTTCCACTGTGACCTTGGCACGCTTTGGGGGGATGCCGGGGCTCGGCGGGGCTGCACGGGGCTCCCCACCATCCCTACTCATGCCACCGCGTCCCTGTGCTCGGTGCATGGTCTGCAGCTCCCCCACCACCACCCGTGACCCCTGTCACCCCAAACCAGCGCGTCGAGCCCCTCTTCTCCCCCTGCCTGCAGTCTGGGGGTGTTGGGTGCCTGCCAGGGGCACCGGGGCAGTAGCAGCCCCCCGGTCCTGATGCTGTCTGGTTCGGCGTCTCCCCCCCACAGTCTGCAGCCTCAAAGGTCGAAGTGCTGTGGGCAAGCGAGGGGCTATATTTAGGCCGGGGGTCGAGTTCCTGCTTGCCCAGCTACCGCTCACCGAGCGCCCAATGCAGCGTGGCACTCACACCCCATGCTCCGCTGCGACCCCAAGCCCGCCCAGCACCACAGCACCTGCTCCTTGCCGGCCTGGGTATGAGTCCCGCGGTGCCGGCTGCTCGCTGAGCCGTCCCAGTGCTGGGGCCGTGGCGTCCCCCCCCTCACCCGTCCCGTCCCGCACGGCCCCCGGCGAGCTGTGCTCTCTCTGCCCCCTCTCCTGAAGTGGCAGCTGCCTCTGATATGTCACATTCCTTGGCTAGGCTCCCCTTCTCCGCGCCTGCTGCCCTGGGCCTGCAGCTCAGCTCCACTTGCAAAGATAGAAAAGGGCCAGCACCTTTCCATATTAGCAGAGAGGCTCGTGGGGAACCTAGCCTACCTCCCCCTCTTCCCCTTCTCCGGCAGTGTCATTGGATCAGGGCAGAGAGAGACCCTGGCGGCATGTGGAGGGAAAGGACACCGTCATACTTCCTGCAACGCGAGACCCCAGGCAGGAGCCACCCTGAGGGGCCCCTTCGTCCCATTCCCAGCGGGCGGCAGAGGTGAGGATCCCAGCATCCCTGATGACCCCAAATCCACCCTCCCAGGGGGCTGCAAACACAACAAGACTATTTCCCTCACCAAGCCCCTGCCTCACTGCCTAAGGGTAACCAGAGTCCTGGTCAGCCCTGCTTGGAGCAGGAGCACCCCACCATTTGGTTTTTGGGGGACCCCATTGGAGCTCCCACATGCTGTGCTCCAGGCAGTGAGCAGCCAGGACTGTCTGTAACAGATGCTGCCTGACCATCCCCGGGCAAGGCAGGGCTTCCCCATCTCCGGTGTGATGGCACCTGGCCCCAGCCGCCCTCGCCAGGGGCTGTAAATCTGGGTGAACAGGACGCCAGCGACATGGCACGGTGCTTCCCAGCTGCAGGCCATCCCTGATGTCTTTGGCACAGCCCACTGCCACCAGCCCAAGGGTGCCAGCATCAGTGGAGCATCACCAGGGAGAAGAAGGTCCCAGGATCTCCCAGCTTGGATAGCTGGGGCACAACAGAGTGGGATGCCCTGCTAGACCCACATCCTCACTGCAGAGTGGCTGAGCCAGCCCCAGGGTCTTTGGGACTGGAGGAGAAGCCCGGGGGAGGCCTGGAGGGCTCTTCCCTGCCACGCAGGAAAAGGAATGCTCTGTCCCCTGCCTGTCCCCAGGGGCTGAGCTCTGTCACAGCCAGCCTGGGCCAGCAGGGAGGGAGGTGTCATCCCTCCCCATCCAGCCTGGGGACTGTCCTTGATGTCACAGGGCCACCTGCTGGAGACAGACCTTGAAATCCAACACCCCCTAACTGGAGTTTGACACACTGGCCTCTCCATCAGGGACCCCTCAGCCCTGCTGGTAGTGGCACATGCCTTGTCCTAAAACATCACTCCCTGCCAGGCCCACAGCCCTCCCTGGGATCTGCTTCCTAGCTGAGGAGTGTGAACCCTGCAGCAACTCCTGGGGCAGAGCAACCCTGAATTGCTCTCTCCCATGGGATGCTTGACCCTGGGTTCCCCTGCAGCATCCCCCATCACTGAGGTGAAGGACGCAAAGCCGAAACCCCCGCATTCTGACCACAGGGAGTGGGGCACATACACTGGGAGGAAGGTGCTGGCAAGTTGAGGCTGCAGGCTGAGCCTGGAATGCAAGCATAGGGTGGTGGGTCTGATGCTCACAGGGTACCAGGGAGGAGTTCGATTTGGGATAAGGGGGGCTTTGCTTGAAGGTTGGTGACACTGGGCGGGGCTGTGAAAAGCCCCAGGCTGGTGTGGATTTGGGCAGGGTTGTCCGAGATGAGGGCAAAAAGGAGATGGCTGTGGAGCTAAGGGCCACCAGGACATGGTGTCTGGCCCTGGGTGCGTGTGGGGGATGTGGCACCATCACCGAGAGCCCCTCTAAACCTGATCAGGGCTTGACCGTTACTGTCCCCTGTCCCAGCAGGGCTCCCCCATCCAGCGCAACTGGGAAATGCACCACCGCAGGCAACAAAATGCTCTGGGACATCTTCAGCATGAGGGCCCACAGCTTTTGGGGGACCCAGCAGCCAGGGAAGAGCAGCTCAGGGAGTTGCTGGCCCCTCCATCCACCTGGCCCTTGTGATGGGCCTCCCTCCAGGTGCTGCCTCCCCACCACCCACCCTATCTCTGCCCCAGAGATGCACTGAGAGGACAGGGTGATGCTCCGTTGTTTATTTTGGCCGCCTGAAGAGTCACATAGATGTGGTGGGGTGGGGGTGCATTGGGGCGAGGGGTGGGGATGCCTGCCCTGGCCCCCCGGGCCTCTCTCTGGCTCCTCCCATTCTCTCCCCCCTCTCTCCCATTCACTCACTCCTCCTCTCTCCTATGTCCACCTACGGGTACCCTCTCGGCTCACGAGCCCAGACCCGTGCAGCCTCCAGCTGCTGGGGGTCCCCGCCATGGTGGGGGGGCGGGCACTGCCCTCCTCTGCCCCACAGGCCTTTATCTTGGCCGGGAGGAGCGAAGGGCCCCAGCCCCCCTGGGCTGGGGGGGACATGCAGGTTGGGAGCCCCCTTGCTCTGAGCCGGACAGAGAACAAGGGGCTCAGCCCGGACCACCTCTAGCTTGTCCCCATCCCTGGCATCACCGCTATGCACCTGGAGAAGTGCCAGCTCCAGGGGGATGGCAGTGCTGGCACAGGGGGATGGGTCCCCACTCCTGTGGAATGAACCCCAAGCCTGTGCCCAGCGTGGGAAGGGGCCTGCGGGGGGATCCAGAACCCGCTGCTGGGACCGTCCGGCTCTCCATGGAGCTGGTCTAGGCCACCACCTGCTCCCCCCAGCCCCTCCTGCCTGTCCCCTCCCCCCTGCCGCCCCTCCCCCGGCCCTGGCCTGATCCTGACGCTGGCGTGGCCGCTGTGAAGCTGCAAAAGCAGACCGAGCCTTTCAAAGCCAAAGGAGAGAGCCCAGGGGTGTGGGGGGCCCAGAGGCAGCTGCATGGGGAAACCCCTCAGGCAGTGCTGGGGGATCACTGAGGGGCGAGGCGGGGGGCAGGAGGGGGGCATGGCGGTAGGACGGAGGCAGGGACAGAATGTGCCAGTGGGCTGCTGGAGCAACCTCCTCTACAGCACTTCATGCTGCTGCTGGGTCGCCTCACTCACCACCTGTGGGAGAGAGCCACTGTGAGTCGCTGTGCCACACCAGAGCCCAGAGTGCAGGAACAGACATCGTGCCTCGGCCCCGTCTCCCCACCACCCTCAGGTGCCACCCTGTGCTCACCTCCCCATCACGGGTTTCGATGGTTTTGATCATCACGGTCTTTTTGGTGTGCACTTCAGAGCCCCGCTGCTCTGGGCTGGTCTCTGCAGGGAGAGGACACGGGATAGGACCACAGGACATGTGGCATGGGGGCACAGCAGTGGGGCTGGGGCTGCTGGGGGGCTTCAGCAGCCGTGGCTGAACCCCCCCATCTCAGCTCATGGCAACACCCAAACAAGTGCCCCCACATCAGAAACTCCATGTGGCAGCTGTGGGTCCCCAACTTGCCAGCTTGGCTGCAGCCCCCCAGGAGGGAGTTTTGCCCCCAAACTGGGGACCCTGGGGGACTCACAGGGTGATGCTCACCTCGGAAATTCAGTGCAGAGGCGAAGGTCTGGTGCATGGGGATGCTGATCCTGCGGGGACACAGAAGAGAAGCTTAGTGCCAGCTAGCTCTAGCCCTCAGGTGCCTGCTCACGAGGTTGGAGCCCCAAAAAACAGTTGACCCTGCTGGTCTCCCTGCACCCCTGCCACTCACCGATTCTCCTCGCCCTCCAGCAGCTTGCGGTATGTGGCGATCTCTACATCCAAGGCCATCTTGACATTGAGCAGGTCCTGGTACTCGCGCAGATGCCGGGCCATCTCATCCTTCAGGTGCCGGATCTCCTCCTCCAGGCGGGCAATGGTGTCCTGGTACCCACCGGCCTCCCCCGCAAAGCGCTCCTCCATCTCCCTCATCTGGCGCATCAGCGAGTCATTCTGGAGAGACACCGGTCTCAATAAGGGAGGGAACCCAGAGGAGCCAGGGGTCACCTGGGGTGGGAGCTGGAGATAACAGGGGATCCTGGGGAGAGCTGTGGTCAGCCCTGGGCTGGGTCCAGCTGATGTGGGACCATGATGAGTGACTGTCATCCTCCATCAGCCCAGTGCTGGCCAGCAGGATCTGGCAGGGCAAGCTGGGCATATCCTGGGCAACCCTAGCACCCTGGTGTCCAGGCTTCTCAGCAAAGCCATCCTACCCCAGCAGGAGGGCAAGGAGAGCTGCAGGAGCACTGGATAGCTGCCTGGGGTTGGCACTGACACACTGGTGGTTGCTGGCTGGCTTCTTTGAGTATGACTGTGTTGGAATGGAACTGTTGTGTACTGTTTGTTTGCAACCACCTTCCCAGCCTGCAACCAGACACCCTGAGCCCTCCGCCCGCCTGCCTGGAGCCTCGCAGTCTGGATCACCTTTTACAATCTGTGCCTTGATCCCAGGACTCTATCAAAACACCTCGCAGGAGCCCAGGCCACTGCTGGAGGAGGCACAGCCCAAATGTGGGGTATGAGTTCCCTCATGGCAGCAACTCAGAGAGCTGGAAAGAGCCCTCCACCCCAGAGATGTCCCTGAGCAGCCCTGGAGCAGCAGGTCCCTGAAGGAAAGCTGGGGGTCTCCCCAGTGCTGCCCTCAGCTCACCGTGCCCTTGAGGGCATCAATCTCGCAGGTGTAGGACTGGATCTGGTGCCGGTACTCCAACATCTCCTGTTTTGCCTGCCGCAGTGCATCATTGTTCTTGTTGGCTGCCTGCGTCAGGTCATTCACCTGCGGAGAGACCAGGGTCAGCAGGCATGGCCACCAAGATGGCCGAGACCCACCGCACTGGGGCCAGCCTGGAGCCCACCACCCCTGTACCTTGGACTTGTACCACTCCTCGGCCTCGGCGATGTTCTTGGCAGCAATGCTCTCATACTGAGCACGGATGTCCCGCAGCGCAGCCGTCAAATCGGGTTTGGAGATGTCCATCTCCACCTGAATGTGCTGCTCCTGCAGCTGTGCCTGCAGCTCCCGGATTTCCTGGGTGGGCAAGGTGACATCTCAGGGCACCCACTCCACCCTCCCTGCCCCACAGGTGCCACTGGGAAAGGGGGCACCCCAACCAACCTCTTCGTGCACTTTCTTGAGGAAGGCGATCTCCTCCTGCAGGGACTCGATACGTCTTTCCAGGTCGATGCGTGCCAGTGTGGCCGCGTCCACGTCCTGGGGGGGACAGAGAGTGAGGGATAGTGGGAGGCTGCAGGGAGAGCACCAGGGTTGGAAGGTGCAAAGCTGTGTCCAGGACCATGCTATGGTGCTGGGGCCAGGCTACTGGGGGGAGAGGGAAGTGGGAAGGGAGGCAGGGGTCTCACACCACATGAAAGGGACAGGTACTCACAGCTCTGAATGCAGCGAGGTTGTTCTCAGCCTCCTCCTTCAGCTGGATCTCCTCTTGCAGCCTGTAGACAGAGAGGAGAGGCTAGGGGGTTCTGGAGGAAGCCCTGTCCCTCCGTGGTGATGTCCCCCCAAGCTGTCCCTTAGTCCAGCATGGCCTGGTGGGAAGACAGCAGATTGTCCTGTGTTCCTGGCAGGCAGCAGAGGGCTGGCAGGGGGCCAGAGGCTCTTCCTCCCATTCCCTATTATAGTCAACACCGGAGAGATCACAAAGGCATGAGGTCAGCTCAGTGCCATGCGTGCTGCCCCGGCCCTTATAGGGGAGAGTGACCAGCAGCTGGGGGGGATCTGGCACGAGGGGTCCAAGAGATGGCCATCAGCTGAGCCATCCCAGGGAGAGCAGGAGGACAGACAGGTCTCAGCGATGCTGTGAGATGGGGTATGGAAAAGGGACTGCTGCCAGGGGTCCCAGGTCAGGGCTGGAGCTCCGGGCTTATGCCAGGGGACGGGACAGTACTGAAGGCTGCAGGCCCATGGAAAGGCAGTGGGGAGGAGACGGAGGTGCCCAGGCGGTACTGGCACACGAGGTAACAGGAACCTGACACCTGTTTGTTCTGGGCCTTGCTCCTCCCCTGTCATTGAAAGTTCCTCCATGTCACCACTCCCAACCCCCCAGCATTGGGGCTTTGCCCCATTAGGAGCATCTATGTTGTGGCTGGGGTTACAGAGGGATGCAGCAGGCTATGTCACCCCCAGGGGATGGGTGCTGGTGTCCCCAGGGCACAGGGTCCGGGAGGGAAGGTGCAGGCCAGCATCAGAACATGCAGCTCCCTCTGATCATTCGCCCCTACTGCCAGGTGTCCCACGCTGTTCAGTCCCTGGGAGTTCCCTCAGCCTGGCCACCCTTGTGGCTAATCCCCACTGGCCCCAGCTCTCTTCCCCAGCACTAGCCATGTCCACAGCATCCTTGGCATCTCCTGCCACTCACAGGGCATTATGGACACTCACAGCAGGCCTAGAGCATCTCTGGCCTGCGGAAGTGCTGCTTCCTCCCCTCCCTCCTTCATGTCCGGAGCTGATGGAGCACCCTCCCCGGGTAATCCTCCCCCTCACTTCCGCCTGTCTGGCTGCCTCTGTCTGCTCATCTATCCCACAGAGCTCAGCTCACTCGTGGGCTCGCCAGCCCTCCCTGGTGTGAGCAGAGATGGGGACCCCATGGTGACGTGCACTTCGATCTCCCTTCTCTGGGTGTCCTGTGGCATCACAGCCCAGCCTCAGCTCCACTGTAAGGGAGGGCATAGGGACACCTCTACTGCCAGAGCTGTTCTGCCCAGTGGGTGCTGCCTGGGCATCAGGACAGGGGTCAAGGGGAACAGAATAGTGGGAACATGATAGTCTATGAGCATGAGGCGCAAGGATGACAGTAACCACCAAAGGGGCTGTCAGGGCGATCTCTGCCACCACCCATCCCTGGGGATAGAGATGCACAGATGGATGCCCGCAGGGACACTCCAAGGGCCCCCACTCACTTCTGCTTGAGCTTCTGCAGGTCATCGAGCAGGTTGTCGCGCTCGACCTCCACACGAGCTCGCTGGTTGGTGAGCAGGTCCACCTGGCGCCGGAGCTCCCGCAGCTCCTCCTCATACATCTCAGCCACGCGGGTGGGCTCCTTGCCCCGCAGGCGGTTCACCTCGGCCACCATGAGGGCATTCTGCTGCTCCAAGAACCTCACCTTTTCAATGTAGTTGGCAAAACGGTCATTGAGCTCCTGCAGCTCCACCTTCTCATTGGTGCGGGTCTGGAGGAACTCCTGGTTCATGGCATCGGCCAGGCTGAAGTCCAGCAGCTCGCCGGCACCTTGGTAGGCACTTTGGTAGGAGCGCAGGGGTGTCACGCGGGTGGTGCGGAAGCTGGACAGGCTGGGGACGGCCGAGGTGCGGGACACCTGGTAGACGCGGGAGGTGACGGAGCTGCCGCTGCTGCCCTTGCTCCCGAAGGAGGCACGGGGGAAGACCGGGGAGCCGCCAAAGGTGCGGCGGTAAGAAGAGACCCGCTGGCTGGAGGAGTAGGACTGGCTCATGGTGGTGGCGTGGGTCGGCGAGGCCGGAGCAGGGAGCAGGCGGCGGGGCTGGCGAGCGGCCGGCAGCTCGGAGAGGCGTCAGGAGGGGAGCTGCGCGCCGCTATTTGTATCCTGCTGACATCACCCGCCCCTCCTGCTGCCGGGCAGCTGGGGGATGCTGCTGCGGGGGGGATGGCCACCAGCCCCCGCCCACTGCCCCTCACCTGCCCGCACCCCCCGGCAGACAAGAATGATACAACGATACCCATGAACCCCTGGGCACCCCCGGAGTCCCCTGGAGCCCTGACTCCGGCCCCCAGTGCTCTGCCCTGTCCCTGGGGGTGTGAGGAGAGTTAACTGGGGCAGGCTGATTGTGACCCCCCTATCAGGGCGCAGTGCCACCCACGGGGGGCCCAGACAGAGAGATGGCTTAGGTGGGTGCCACGGGGGAAAGAAGGGGACTCAGACCTTCACAACAAACCCTCACTTGACACCCTTAAGCCAAACCTCATGACTGCTAGCCATGGTCCCAAAATTAGTCTTGAGAACCCCAAAAGGCCTCTGATGATGCCCTGACCCACCCCCTGGCAAGAGCACCAGGCTCAGCTCTCCATGTGGGGCCAGACTCCAGCCCCCCCACCCAGAGAGTGAGCAAGGAAGGGCCCAGGAAAGGGGCTGATGTGGGAGGACTCCAGCCCTGAGTGTGCTTGTACTGACCCACCACCCCAACTCCCTTTCTGACATGGGGGGCTGTGCACTGGCCAGGGTCTGGGCACTTTCAAGTGCTGCTGAGTGACCCCAAGCAGGTGCTGGGTCTGAGCCCCAGTGACGGTGACGTCAGCCCCCTGTCCTTTCTCAGGCACATTCCCAAAGCAGCAGGCACCCAACCAAAATAGCCTTCCCAGCTCATACTCATGGGGCGTGGGACATACATACATGGTATTTATAGCTGGGTGCCTCCCTGTTAACCCTTCTTGCTCCAGGCATGTGGACAGCACAGCTGGATGGGGACCCTGCCTGGAGCAGCTCCAGTCCCTCTCTGGCCCCCATCACTCCAAGAGCAGAACAAGGTCCCCAGGTTATCCCGAGGCACTGCAGGCTCTGCCCTGTCTCCTCAGTCTTCCTCTTGACCAGAAAGTACATGGAGGATCAGAAAGCCCAGCCCACCTCTGCAAAAATTCAGAGAATGGAGAATACCCCAGTCCTGTATAGGCACCCCCACAGCTTCCCACTTCCTGGACAGGTGGTAGGCCAGATCAGGGAACCCCAGGGCCATGCACAAACCTGTGCCAGCTAAAGAGGTCATCCTGAGGGAGGGGAGCTGTGCTGGGGGAACCCCTCAAGAGGGTGCCCCTTGCCTGGGAAGCACCCCCTCCTCTAAAGCCCCCCCAGCACACTTGGTGACCCCCAGCTCTGTCCAAGCTGCACTGTTTTGGCTGACGTCACCTGGCTCAGCCCCAGTGACTCTGTCCCTGGAGGCCCTGGTGTAGGGGACCACGGTGCCACTGGGCACGGGGTGACTCAGCAGCAGGAGCAGTACTCAGCCCTGACTGGCCCTGCACCTCCTGGCCTTCTGTCCTGGCTGTAACACAGACACCAAGCAGTGCCGTGGCTCACCCAAGGCAGCATCAGGATGGCAAAAGGTTGGGCTTAATCATGGAATCATTCTCAGCTGCCCTGGCTCTGGAGGCATTCCTGCCTGCTGCCTGCCTGCTCCATGCCATCTGAGGGCCAGCGAGGGTCTTGGTCCCATATCCATGCAGGTGGGCAGGGGCTCGATGCCCCACATCCCTTTAGCCCCTCCAAGCCCCCCATCCTTGGAGCCCCTCCCAGCCACCCAGTTGCAGCATGATGTGGCATCTTCCCAAGGGTGCAAGCTGCCTGGCGGAGCCTGCCTTTAAAAGGGAAGGTATTTCCAGATGGGGTTGTTTCATACCAGCACAGGGGGAGGATGGAAGAAAGGGGGGCTTGTGGGGGGAGAGTAGATGGAAAAACAGACAGCATCCTTCCTCCTTCTGGCCCTGCGCCGAGTATGCCCTGCACATCCCTGAGCTCCGCACGTGTGCCCTGCCTGTGCTACAAGTGCCAGCAGGGTGGCAAGCCAGTCCTTAGCCGGTGTGCAGAGGGGCAGGTGGGTGCCCACACCAGTGAGGGGGACCCCAGGGATTTGGGACAGCACACCTCCAGCTGTGGAATTCAGCCTTTCCTTCCCATGACCCTATCCTGCTGCCATGCCAGCTGGGGTGTGGGGAGGAGGGACTCCCTAGGAGTGCTGTGTCCAGCAGTGCCTGGCAGCCTACCCTGGTAGGGCAATGCAAACCCTATCCCAGTCCCAGGGAGCCCTTGTTTCCATTGTCATCCCACATAGCAGGGATATGCAGGGTTGGGGTGCTCCAGGGAGGGGAAATGCACTCTCTGGCACTGGTGCTTGGAGGGGAAGCAGCTCAGAGTGGTTAACAAGGAGCATCCTCCTGGCCCTGTTCTAGGACAGACTGCTTGAAGTGGCCTTTCCTCAGCTGCTGTGACAACCTTCCAGGCTGGCTCTGTGCAGGCAGGGGGCCCCACGGCTTGCAGAGGGTGGACAAAAGCCTTGGACTTTCCACAGCCTCTTAGGAAAGCCCCGTCTGCTTGCAGGACCCAGCATGACGGGAAGAAGGGACAAAGTGCGGGACCCAGAAACCCTGCCCGAATCCCATGCCAGGGACATGGCGCCAAATTCCATGACGACTAAAGACCCAGAGGCTGCGGAAAGTGAGGAGGCTGCAGAGAGCAGCAGTGCAAGGCTGATTCCTGTCCCGTCCAGTCCCATTCTGCCTCCCCACAACTACATCCCAGGCCAGGCTGACCCAGACCGGCGGAGCCTGGGAAGTGGCTCCTGAACCCCCGCACTGGCCTGGTCCCAGCTTCCACCGAGCTGTGGATGAGGCTGCTGCTGGGAAGGCATTTGGAGCTGGAATGTCAAACAACTCCCTCTGGTCATGACATCCTTGTGAGCAAAGCCAGCTGCATCCTGAAGCCACCCCTCCTCCCCAGCCCTCCCTCCCTCCCTCCCGCTCCCCCAGGATTTAAGCCCTTCACAGTCTTCCGAGGCTGTGGGCATCTCGGGGCTCAAAGGATGCAGGGACAGGGTGCTGACCCCTCCTTGGCCCTGGACCCTGCCACCGGACCCCAGTGCCCCCCTCACGCCTGGCCCTAGCTCAGGGATGAGTGGAGGGATGGGAATGAAGCAGCGAGGACATCCATCCCCTCACTTCTGACCCCTGGCTGTCTCCCTTCATCCCACTCCTTTTACAGCCATGAGCCTCCCAGGCATCTTTACCCTAAGAGGGAAGGACTGTGTGGCCCATTCCTCGGTGCTGACGGACCCAGGGCACGATCTATTGTCTAAATAAGAGATGTTCTCCTTCCTTGCCTGGACCATGGCCCAACCTGGCACAACAGGGCCCCAGGAGCTGGTGGGTGCCCTAAAGTCTTCAGCCCCCCACCCACTGTTCACCTCAGCTGTCCTCATGCCTTCACCCACTCCAGAGCTCAGGACAGCACCAGTGGGCACGCAGCCTGTCTGGCTGTTCCTGGTCCTCATCCCTGTGTCCCCAAGCGATGGGGATGCTGAGGACGATGTCCTGTCTCAGAGTGGCACAAGGATGCTGGGGGCATCCTGATGCCCCATGGCATGTATGGATGCTGTGGGTGTCCAGCTGCAACCTGTGTGGATGCTGGGAGGTGTTCACTTGCCCCCCTTGGTCTTTGTATATCCTTGGGATGAGTTGTTGCCTCCATGTTTCACAAAGTTGCTGCGGGTGACCTGTTGCTCCCAGGGCCATGTAGCTGCTGGGGAAGATCAGCTACCTCCATGTCCATGCAGATGCCTGAAGCATACATCTGCCCCTCCATCTAGAGCTAACCCTGTCATCTGTGGGGATGTTGGGAGTGTTCACCCATCCCTGCAGCCCAGAGGCAGGCTCGGTGCCCTCATGGTCCATGGGGATGTTCACCTACCCCCGTGGTGTGGAGAAACTAGGGATGCCCAGCTGCCCTCGTGGTCCACATGGATGTAGGGATGACTGGGTGGCCCACAAGGATGCTGGGGTGTCTGTCTGCCCTCCCACAGGCCTCGATAGTGTCACCCATGCCAGTGAGATGAGGTAGCGTTAGCCGCTGCATCGCTGGCAGCTCACGTAAGGCATGGTGGCCATTCACTCAGCCTCCAGCAATGCCTGGGCAGTGATTTCACTTTCCCATGCTCAGACACGTGGGCCGGGATGCGGGGGACCGCCTCGATGGATGCCATCCTTTTGCTCATCCTGGCAGGGCTGGCTAGGGGGGATCCAGGCAGCCTGGCAGGCAGTGGGAGAAGGGGGCGGCACTTCCTGGAGCTCTGGCTGTGTTTACAGGCTCTGTCCTGGGCCGTCTTTCCATTAACCCCTTCCAGCAGGGCTAAGCACTCTCTGCCGATTCCCAAAGAGTCCTGCCACCAGGGAACACTTCCCAGAACAAACCCTGCCCAGAATCCCACTCTAGGCTGCCAGGGGACATGGGAAGGGCCACAGTGCCCTGTCCCTACTGGTTCTGTCCCTGCCAGGCACCCCTGGGCACACGCATGAGCCCAGCACCAGGGTGCATGCACTCCAAGGAGAAGCTGGTGCCTTTTTGGGAGGGCTGCCTGGGGCTCCCTGCTGCACTAGGTGGTCCATGCGGCAGTGTGGAATGTGGACAGGAGCAGTGTCTTCCCAGGAGCATGGTGATGGGGTGGGGGGAAGCCACGACAGGTGCTGCGCAGCCCTTGGCACCCAGCCAGGGGTGAGTCAGAGCCCACCCGGAAATAGCCATCAGGAGCTTTTTCTGGAAGCCTCTCTGTTCCGGGAATAGCTGCGGCATGCCAAGGCGCTGCCCTTTGCCCGCTCTGGCAGGGCTGGACAAAGGCCACACCCGGCCCTGCCACTCACCCCTGTTCCAACACCCCAGATCCAGGCACCCCCTGCTCCTGCACACATCCCCACTGTGACCATCTGCCCTGGGCACCCGCATCCACTGGCTGCTCACCCACTCTGGGCATCTACCAGCTGGGGAGCCATGGGCTCCAAATGTCCCCAGATCTCC